ATTCAGTCAAGTCTTTCTTTGAATGATCAATTTGAAATACCGATGTGTCACTCAGAATTAATTTCATTTTTTGTAGATACTTGTCAGTATCCATTGTGAATTTTTGATGTGACAAGTTGAAAAACAAGCTTCATGGTATTTTGTAGAACGCCAAGTGAATTTTTCCTTAACTAGAATCTTTGACACACATTTTCTCAAACTTTACTTTTTTCTTAGTTTTGATGTCTCGAATAAACTCAATAAACTTGGTGCTATAGGTTACATTCATCTCTGTTTCAGAATGCAACAAAAGCAACAAGCCTTTTCGATTTAGGAATAAAGCTTTCGGCTTACTCATTTTTATATTTCGTGACTCGTCGAGGGTTTGTTTGATGAGGGTTGTGATTTGCAGACGTGTACAGATCTTAGAAATTGACGTGGAAAGTAGCGTGTACTTGAACACTGTTCCTAGAAGTTAAGTTGGCTCAACTCCTTAGATGTCTGTCCTTCATCATATGTTGGCCACCAAGATTGAGAAGAGAGGTGGTCATAAACTTCATATAGTTCTTCGTGTTTGTGCGTGGGTGGCACAGTGGTTAGGACTCTCACTGACCACGCATATGGTTATGAGTTCGATACCCTGCCGACGCACACCTGATATCTATGGTTGGCCAGTATATAGTTCGGGCTACCGATATCATATGCTGAAAATTCCATACTTGTACCAAAAAATACAGTGTGGAGTCAAGCTGTAATCAAAAATAGAAGGTTAATAAACTTGTTGTAAGCGACTGAAAAATAATTCACGAAATAATTAAAGGCACTATATATTATCCTGCTACATTTGTTGTACTTACTTTGTTCACCTTTATTGTAAGCCACATTGCATAGGTTTATCAACTCTTGGTGGTGATATATTCGTTTTATTTTATCCCTGGTAGTTATGCTGCTTCATCACACTGGCTTATATGTAGGCTGTTCAACTACTTATTTGTTAAACATTTTAATCATCTGCAGTTATCATGCTTCATCATGACACTCCTTCACGATAGCTCCTAGTCGAACGGATCAAAAGATACACAGCTTTCCTAAATGTGCATAAAAATCCACCAATTAAACTATACGATGTCATCGAATACCTTCTTCAGGGTAGATCTGTATATCGAGTTGACAAAGTTAGAGTTCAGGGTTACTTGAATTCAATCAAGCCCAAGTGGATGAATGTTCAATGAGCTTGACCTCATAACCTTAAGGCCACGCGTTCAAAGTCTGGCAAGGAGAAGTCATGGGTGCGGTCTACCGAGGAATCGCAAAATAGTAGGGAACAGCTATCCAGTTCTCCCAGTTGCTTCTCAACTATCTCTCTAATCGATGTTGGTTTGTGACAAAAATCTAACAATTTCAATAAATCACAAGCATTTATGAAATAGGTAGATTACGTTTCATTTTTTTGGGTGTTTTTCATCTTTTTTTGCATGAATTAATTGTCGCTAAAGTATTTAATCAATTTTTGTTATCGCCAGTATTATTGCACTCAACATTTGTACTGTTGTTATTTATAGTTTTACTATGACTTTCAGTCTGTTACCTCAATCAGCGAAATGAAATTCCTAATTCCTCATTAAAGATTCTTTGTTTAATATATTTTATTCTTACCATGTTATATACTTGTGCGTTGGTGGCACAGAGGTTAGGACGCTCGCCGACCATGCACATGGTCCGGGGTTCAATCCCTGGCCGACACACTCCTTTACCTCGCTAAACCAGAAATAATGCTGGTAAAGAGGAGAGGTTGGGCATGAGGCTAGCAACTCCATCCTGTAAAATTAAACACTGCTACAGAAACTTCAAGGCACTAGCTTGAAGCCCTATGTTCCACTGGGAGCGTGAAGGAAAAAAATGTTATATACTTACTATGCTTCAGGGATTTCGTCTTTCAATGTTCAGTCATGTTCCGTTTTTAAAGTGCTCTACATCAATATGTGTAGGAAAACGTTGAGTTTTTTTTAAAAAGCGATTTCCTTATGCAGACTTACTAATCTGCTGTAAGTGTTGTTGTGCATAAATAGGTTCATCGAAGAGTAAACCATACTTCTTTTACTGAAATATCCAGTTATTTTCCATGATAGTGCAGGCAAATATTGTTGTTGGTTGTCTAAAATAAATATCTTGTGTTGGAGGTAACACATTTTTTGATAGAATGAACATGTACAATCAGTCTGATCATCGATAAACCCTTTTTTTCAAAGCTCCATATTAATTTGCTTATTGGACACATTACGCAGTCAAACATTACTATTTATTTGCCAGAAGACTTTGTGAACAAAATGTATTACTGTTCATTATCATATCAAGTAGAAATATGCAACTTCGAAATTTTCATTTTACAGTTTCCTTTATTCCTTTCTGTTTGTCATAGGAGTTGTATAATTTTCCATATTTCATCGACAGGTGTTTAATCATTCTTCTTGTACGTGTTCTTAGTCTGCTCTATAAATAAAGCTACCGTTATCAATCTTTCCTGCTACTCTGTTATACTGAATTTTAACCCTGACACATAGTCTCATCCTACTATATGGTGTAGTATAACTGCATGCAGTAATTTAGCTCAACTGTGGATTTCTTATCTTATCAGAGTCAACTAATCTACATTTTGCTAGATTTGTGTTCTCCGCTAGTCTGGTTAACCCCATTCTACTACTTTGACCCATGTTTTGACATGGGACATTGAATGAACTAAATTGTGTTGTTTAATTGACCCCACAGGATCATTTGACCAACAGTCTGTTTCAAAGGGAGTTTGTAAGTTTGAATGTCACTTTTATTCCTGTCTTGTTAATAATTCTACATAAGGTTTCCGAGGTTCCTTACTTGTAGCGAAGATCTACTCATTATTTATATTCCCTGTTGTTGGTGTTGTTATCATTCCGTTCGTGTTTTTGTTATACACGTTGTCATTACTAATTTTATTTTTACATTTTATTACATGCTTTCTGATTAGTTTATCAGAAAAATTATTAAGTTTAAAAACTTTTTCTATGTTTCCAGGATTTCATCATGAGCTAACATTGGTTACAGAACCATTGGAATACCCGGAAGAACTGGACAGCTGCTTCGTCCTAGTTTGAGGCTCTTCATCAGTACCCGCCCATTTGGGTTCGAACCCAGGACTTTCTGTTTACAAGGCGAGCTAGCTCGTATACCATTGAGCCACTGGAACCTGATCCAATGACCCATGTATTCTAACTTCTGCCAATTCACGACATAGCGCGACCTGTAGCCCATGTCTTCAGTGGCGAGTATTTGTCCTCACACCCGACCTGCTGCACCCTACTGGTCACAACTTCTCACTAGAACCCCACGTAACTACCTACCTGAATAGAGCAAGTCGCTACCGAGCATATCATCGATATTCATGTGTTGGTTTGAAGGGATTTGACTGATTGGTTGCAGGATTTCATCATGAGCCGACATTGGTTAAGGGACCATTGGAAAACCTATATAATTCACTCCCCCTGAGTAGCTCTCTCACTGTAGTTTTGTTACGTAAAACGGTTTCGAAAAAGTACTACACCCCCAGTCTACGAGTGACAATTTCTGGCAAGAAACAGTTCAACAAGCACGTGAAAAGGTAAGCTGGCGCATTGAGCCATTTCAACATGCATTTACCAGTCCTCTTGCTAGTGTGAAGATGGCTACCTTAGCAGTACCATTTCTCCTCTTTTAAAACAGGATTGGTAATACAATGTAGCACGCTTAATAAAGGGAGAAATCAAGGGTTTATATTTATTCGATATCAAACTATCTGGTAAACTCAGGACATCCAGCTCTTCAAAGTAATATACAAGATCCAATAAAAACTCTCAAAGGGATGAAATCAAGACATCTGGGGACAGCTAAGGCACTAGCTATCCAAAAGTTCAAACCTATGCTACGTATTCAAAAGACATAAACGTTCAAAAGTTATCTTTACCATGGCCATCAAACAAAGTCGATTCCCTTAAGTAGCCAATATTCTATTATCTTTTATATCCTATATTCCTGTTAATTTATGTTATTACTACATTTTAACCCCCATTACTTACACAAACGTCAATTTTCTCAGTAATTATGACCCTTATTATAAAATCCTTTAATTCCTAGAGGAACATAGGGCTTCATCCGCGCGTCTCCATTGCGTTCGGCTTTCTGTCAACGTTTTCACTCCGCTCCAAGTCTGCCCACATGATTTCATCTCCTCCTCACATGACCTCTTCCAAGTCACCCCACCCTCCCACTGACGACCAACTCGCTGCTTCCCTTTCGTCCTGGTTCCACTCGAGCGATGGCTGGCTTGTCTAGTGATGTCACTCACTTGATGGTTTCCTCAGAGTATGGCCGATCCAATCCATCTCCATTTATTCCTGCCTATTTGTCTCACAATCAGTTCCTGGTTGGTTTGCTCCCAGAGATCCCTCCCTGTTGCTGATCTTTTCTGGCCGGCCATCTGATCTTGAGTGGTATTGAGCGAAGAAAGCTGTTGACGAAGGTCTGTAGTTTGTTTGAGATGCTCTTCATGACACGCTGGCCAAGTCTCTGATCCGTGTAGTAAGTAGCACTGACTTCACATTGGAGTTGAAAATCCGGATCTTATTTTTCATGTTCACGCCGAGTGATGTTGACCTCCACACAGACTTGGGAGCAATGACAGCTTGTCTTGCTTTCCTGATCCTCGCTTCTTTGATATCCTCGTCATTTTCGTCCACCTGTGGTTGAAACGATGTTTCCCAGGTAGGTAGGTAGGTGAAGGAGGTGGTTTCTTTCAGGTTCCTCCCATTTATATTGGCTGATTGTTGTCTGTTGTTGTTGTTGCTGTTGTTGTTGGAATTATGACCCTACTATGCTTTTTTCCATCTGATGTTCCTGTTTATTAAACTCTGCAATTTTTATCAATTTGACCCTTGACCGGAAGCAGTTCTAGACTTTTCGTTTCTTCTTCCTGAATAACAGAAAAGAAATGAAAATGAAGTGGAGTAACCAGAGAAATAAATGACACTATTTTTTTTTGCTTTATTAAAATCCTTCTTTCTATTTAACACAGTCAGCTTTAGAGAGAGAGAGAGAGGACATTTCACAGTTAAAATAATTATAATCTTCACATGTGTAAATCTATTCTGTAACATTCTCGCTTAAATATATTAATTACATACCTCGTTATCAACAATTAGAAGATGTAAACTGTTCACAGATTGAAACAATTTTGATTTTAACAGTATCGTTTTTTAAAATAAGCAGATAGGCCAACATTTCAATGTTGAAGAGGAATGAAATATTCAGAGTTTTAACATTTAAGTACACTAGTTAGCAAAGTACTACTCGAGTAACACGAAACCATGAACGATACACATTCGGAATTCATAGAAATGTGCTGGAATTTAGGATAACACATTCAAGGTGTTCAATGGATATATATTCATCATTTAACTTCAAAAACTTAGTAAATGCAATCCGATAGCCAGGAGATTTCAAACACTGCAAAACATTAAAGACTCCCATAATGAAATATTTGGAAAAGGGGTGGAAAAGACAAGAAAAAGGAGAAGAAAAAATAGAAGGTCGAAAGTTAATTTGTTCGGTTTTCACATTCGATGTAATTGTTAAAAAAAGAAGGTGTCCATTTTATTTTTAGAAATTATCATTGACTAATTCAATAAGCAGGTTATTTGTTGAAGAAATGAATATAAGAAAGTGTGAATTGCTGATGTGAATGAACTAAATTCAGCGCGATCTTCTATGAACAGCAGATTTTTTTCAGTGATATTATTGTGATCAGCTTAACTGTTAGTTTTATATGTATGTGCGAGAAGGATTTTTCTGAACAGAAAAGTTGACGATCATGTTGACAGTGTTGACAGACTAGACAGCGGCTTTCAATGTTGAATTCCGGATTGAACGTTGACAACTGCATTAGTCTGACATAGAAGAAAAAAGATAATATAATCATTAAAACTCCATATGCTGTTAGTAATTAAAGGATGAAGAAATCATACCAGCATAATAATATTGAATAGAAGTATCGTGGAAAACACTCATATAGACATTAGAAAAGAAGAGAACACGAAGTTCAGCAAAGATGTTGATCTTTTCGGTGATTTCATCTTCAAAAGCAACTGTACAATCGCATTTAAATACATAATTTTACATGGATGGATACAAACAATTCTTGTTTGATTCCACATAATTACGACGGCGAATAAAAGGTGATAATTATTTTCAACTAGATATGGTTTACGAGAGGCTTAGAAACAATATGCATCGAGAAGCCGGAGCTGTGTGTCTAAACAAAAATTAGTCTAGCCTCTACAAATACCATGGACCTAGTTCAGTATGTTCCCTCAGCTTCCGTTTTTTTCTTCTTTTGTTCTCTTTTTGATCTTTTCTCCTTCGCTGCGTGTGTGTGATTCTTACTCCCTCTGTCTTCATTCGATTCACCCCATTTTTTCAGTTATAAAAACAGTTATTTTAAGTTTGTTTCCATGCTTTTCCTGTTCACATTTATAGTTCATTTAAAATAACTATTTTACAATTATATCTTAACCCCGTTCAATTTTTGTGTTTCTAAGGCTCTTGTAATATATATTCACACTTCCTAACTTCCATTTCAAGTTAAAATTATTGTTTCAATTTTGTTTCCATGCTCACTTTTTACACACTTGTCATCTGTTCTAATCCTGTGTGTAATTTTGTTTCTAAGCCTCTCGTAAAAACCATATCTAGTTGAAAATAATTATCACCTTTTATTCGCCGTCGTAATTATGTGGAATCAAACAAGAATTGTTTGTATCCATCCATGTAAAATTATGTATTTAAATGAGATTGTACAGCTGATTTTGAAGATGAAATCGCCGAAAAGATCAACATCTTTGCTGAACTTCGTGTTTTCTTCTTTCTAATGAATAGAAGTAGTCAACAGAAGGCTGCATATCACAATAGCTAGAACCTATCCTGATGTTAAGTTGGTTCCTGTTTTCAGGCAATATGCTCCTTGGTACAAGTGAAAGTAAACAGATACTCGCCTTACGTTAACTCCATTTATGTATGCAGAATACCTCGAAACATTTAGAAGGACTGTTTCTAAGAATTTTCGCTTTAATGTCACCTTCGATTTATAGGTTCATAAAAGAAAGCTTTCTTAAGAACAGTTGCGAATTTTGACGATAGAGGCGGCTTTCATTTCATGCTTTTTCGAGAAATCCTGGTGGATACCTATTCCGCAGTAGGCTTCTACGTAATTAATGTATTTATTTATTTTATTTTATTTTTGATTACAGCTTGATTCCACACCGTATTTTCGGTACAAGTATGGAAAATTCAGCATGTGATATCGATAGCCCAAATTTTGCAGGCCGACCATAGATATCTGGTGTGCGTCGGCGAGGATCGAACTCAGGACCATGTGCATGATCGGCAAGAGTCCTAACCGCTGTGCCACCGACGCACATTCTCTGTCGTGTCTCCCGAACAGATTTTTCAAATCCTTGAACAAAGAAGAAACAAGAGACAAGCAAAATCACACCGTATTGAAATGGTTTGGGGTTAAGGACGAGGATTACGCAGTCAAATGAAAGAGAAAGATTAAAGACATCCGGGAAAGGAAAGACCGACAACTATACCCTTCTGAACACACGTAAATCGGGTCTCAGGTGTTTGATGGCCATTGTTACCGCACATGTGAGGAGAGCTGAACTATTTATCGATTGATAATTTTAAAAAATTTCATGATTTCCACCTCTGATAATCTGAACTGATCAGATATCTGGCAATGATACAACTGTAAACGTTTGTTCCCTTGAGACGTAGATTTTTTGGAACATGTTTAGAAAATCGAAGGCATACCCTTCTTTCTGTTCTCCCAGTGTAACTGCTACTACAAATATATATATATATATATATATATATATATATTTCTTAACAGTTTAGGAACAATTCGATTGATTAGAGACGAAGACTGAATATTACCTACCTAAGAGACAGATAAAGGTTAATCTTTATTGATATTTGATCCACTGTTGACTTCATCTATTCTCAGTGTAGGCAACAAATTAAAGGCATGAAATTAGCTTAGCTTAAATGACTTTCTGTCATCTAGAGAGAATTATATATATATATATATTTCATACACTTTATTATTTTATCCAGTTCATTTAGGTGAATGAGATTAAGGATAGGCTAAATTAGACTATGTGAAGGTAATTAAATATTCAACTAAATTTTCGCCTCTAGCCGTTTATCCGCTTAGGTGAGATTTAATTTGAGGTAAAACCAGCCGACTAACTAACACATGAATTTCCGCATGACTGTTAATAACTAACAAATGGGTCATTCGAACATTATTTGATGTGAAGATCATGATTTTAGATTAGATTCATCACGGAAAAAAAAGTTATTCATTTAGAACATACTATTCACAAATAAACACTAAATGTGTGATTGGATAAGGAATGAAATTGATTGCAGTTCTGGTGAAAAGGCTTCACCAGTGGGATTCGCAAAGTCAAATATAAGGACAATAACTTGCTGACGATGTTGGCTTGTGGTCGCGCTAAATGGGTTAGAATTAATGAGCGATTGTAACTGGAAGGTTTTAAGTTCAAACTCTGGCTGTGGGTAGGTGCTTCTGAAGAGTTCTAAGCTGAGACGAAACATATGTCCATTACTCCATGGTTTTGCAGTGATTCTCCAACTGACATCAGCTGGCGATCAAACTCCTGACAGATCGTTACACAGTGCTTAAATGCTATCCAGATAGCAAGTTTTTCTAACTGCGGGATAACAAAACGCCGTGATAGCGACTGAGAAATACCTATTATGTATTAACTACTGGATGATTTACGATGCGGTCATTCTTGAATACCCCAATTAAAAAATAGATGGTTTTTGTCGATTCTACTTTGCACAAGTATCTCATTTAGAAATTCCGTGATCCCAGCATTTTTTAGCAGCTATAATCAAACTCTGAAATGTGACTGTATATAGAGTTTTAGTCTGAGGTGTACATAAAGTCGGTTTGTGGTGAGAGCAGGCTGGTTGACATTAATCTACGTCAATGACTAGGTCACTAATATTGGCCGTGAGAAAATATGAACAAGGCTGATTCAACAACCAATCACAGCAGACTTAACGTGGGCAAATGTGATTCACAGATAGATGGCTCCACTTTCCGAGAAAACCCGAAACAACCAATCAGAAGACTGCCTTTGTCTACTTGCATAAGCCATAATAATGTACGTGAAATATATATAAATACGTGCTGATTTCTGTAATAAAATGTTCTGTTGCCGGCCTTTGCCTTCTGTTGTTACAGGTTCAGTTACTTTCAGGAACCTGAAATACTGTAGGAGTTACAACTCACCCAACCTTAACAACGATGGAAGTTATTTCTGACTGGTAAACTATAGATTCCTCTGAATGTTACCCAACTTGTACCTATTATTACTTGCGAATGTAGTCCCCAGTGTGGAAAAAATTACATAAGAATGCACTATCTGAATACAGTTTCCGAAGTTTATTCAATGGTTGAATCTTTAGCTTAATTATTAGCACATTCGTAGGATAGCAGCAGTGGATTGATAAGTGAAGCTGTCTCATACATGTCATTGCCACCCATTACAGTCATCTTTCTGATGTTCAATTCACAGGTATTTTAGAAATACTATATGCATTTCAGTATTTGCAATTTACTTTTGGTAGCCGTTATCTTGGTCGAGCTAAAACGAATTTACCTGAGGAAATAAATATATAACCGAAAAATAAATCTTAAACACACTATTCGCCTCGTATGAACATATCTAATTTGAATAAAGGGCTGTTATAGAGCCTGGACTAGGACAACTTGAAAACGGTGTGAAGTCAAACCTGCATGGAAGTTCTAGGCAGAAAGAAGAAGCAGGACAAACAGTGGCTCACTGCGGACACTTGGAAACCAATAGAGGAGAGAAGGATAGTGAAACAAAAGATTATCCAGTGCACCGACGAGCAACAAAAACAGGAGTTGAATGCAAGCTACAATACACTGAACAAAAGAGTAAAGAAGGGTGCAAGGGAAGGCAAAAGAAAATATTATGAAGCCATGGCAAATGGAGCAGAACAAGCTGCAGGCAAAGGAGACCTCGCTACACTCTACCAAACAACTAGGCACCTACCGGGTAAAGGTCTGACACAGATTTAGCCAGTGAAGGATGACAATGGAAAGTCCATCGACAAAGAAGTAGAGCAAAGAAAACACCGGGCTGAACACTTCAAAAGACTTCTAAATCGACCGCCACCTACAACGCGACCAACAATACCAACAACGGAAGCAGAACTACCGGTGAACATCAACCTCTGACGAAATCAGAAGTCCTGAATGCAATCAAGATGCTAAAAGCTGGAAAAGCAGCAGGACCAGATGGAATCCCAGCAGAAGCATTGAAAATGGACCTAGAGACAACAGCGGACTTGATGACGCCATTGGTGGAGAAGGTGTGGAAAGAGGGCAAAGTACCCGAGGATTGGAAGAACGGATACTTATTCAAACTACCAAAGAAAGCAGACTTAAGTCAATGCAAGCACTGGTCCGGAATTACGCTCCTGTCCATCCCAAGCAAAATACCAAGGCGCATCATCCTGGAGAGAATCAAACACGCCACCGCGGGTGAAAAACTTCGACCGGAACAAGCTGGATTCAGGAGAAACAAGTCATGTATTGATCCAATCGCCACACTACGGATCATCATTGAGCAAAGCTTGGAATGGCAGTCACCTCTCTACCTCAACTTCATCGACTTTGAAAAGGCCTTCGACAGCGTCGATCGAGAGGTGATTTGGCAACTACTTCGCTACCACCAAGAGGTCCCATCGACAATTATACATCTCATCCAACAGTTATACGACAATGCTGCTTGCCAAGTAGTCCACAATGAGAAACTTACAGAAGCCTTCAAAGTGAGGACGGGAGTAAGACAAGCTGGCTGCCTGATATCGCCAATGATCTACCTGATCGTAGTAGATTGGATGATGAGACAGACAACGGGAAATGAGGAAACAGGCATAAAATGGACTAACACAAAAACACTTGGAGGATCTGGACTTCACCGATGATATATGTCTGATTTTCCACAGACTGGAAGATATGCAAGTGAAAAGCAACAAGTTGGCAGAAGAAGCATCAAGGATAGGACTACAGGTGAACATAGATAAAACAGAGGTGGTGAAGATTCTTGGCCAACACCAACAGCAACAACAACAGACAACAATCAGTCGGCATAAATAAGAGGAACCTGGAAGTAACAAACTCCTTCACCTACCTGGGAAGCATCGTTTCAACTGCAGGCGGAACTGACGAGGATACTAAAGCCAGAATCGGAAAAGCAAGGCAAGCTTTCACTACTCTCAAGTCTGTGTGGAGGTCAACATCACTCAGCGTGAACATGAAAAATAAGATCCGGATTTTCAACTCCAATGTGAAGTCAGTGCTACTTACTACACGGATCAGAGACTTGGCCAGCGTGTCATGAAGAGCATCTCAAACAAACTACAGACCTTCGTCAACAGTTGTCTTCGCTCAATACTCAAGATCAGATGGCCGGCCAGAAAAGATCAGCAACAGGGATCTCTGGGAGCAAACCAACCAGGAACTGATTGTGAAATGAATAGGCAGGAAGAAATGGAGGTGGATTGGATCGGCCATACTCTGAGGAAACCATCAAGTGAGTGACATCACTAGACAAGCCAGCCATTGCTCGAGTGGAACACGAAAGGGAAGCGATGAGTCGGTCATCAGTGCGAGGGTGGGGTGACTTGGAGGAGGTCATGTGAGGAGGAGATGAAAGCATATGGGCAGACTTGGAGCGGAGTGAAAACATTGGCAGAAAACCGAAGGCAATGGAGACGCGCGGATGAAGCCCTATGTTCCTCTAGGAATTAAAGGATATAATAATAATAATTTGTTTAACCCTGTGTAGATCCTTGAGGTTGTACACACTACCTCCAATCACGAAATCATTCAATGCACAGAGACCTGTGTCCTGTCTGTTCCCAGCTAGGCTTTCATTCATATCACCCACTAGGATTTTAATGTTGCTATCTGGTTTTGTTCTTATCATTTACAGTCTGCAGTTGTCTGTAGAAATCTTCCTTCTTCTCTTGTCCTGACTTGTTTGTAGTCACACAGCATGGGATAATTGCAACTTTCCTTCTTTTTGAATTGAGTCTTGCTGTCATCATCCTGTAGGAAGAGATAAGTTCCTGCTACATAAGATTTTTAGATGCTGTTAGTGACATTATGAAAGCCCCTCCCTCATTGTGATTATGGTTACTGTCTGGGTGGCCAGAGTAGACTACTGACTCGCCTTCATTTAACGCTTTGGATAGTCCACATCCATTCCATCTAATCTCACAGATTCCTAACACCTTGATGTTATATCTCCCCTTTTCTTTAGCTATCGGAGCAGCCTCTGCAGCTTCCTACATTGTACAAACATTCCATGTCCCAGTGTTCATTTAAGCCTTCATCGAAAGAAGACAAAAAGGCTGACTGGCTTGCATGATTCTGTCTGTTTGATTCCAATGAAGAATAAGTTTGTTTTCATAAATTTTCGTTGCGCTTGGAAGTTTCTGTAGCGATTGTATTGATTCTACAAGGTAGGATCGATGTTCCAAAGCTCAACCTTCCTTCTCTCTTTGGGCTCAGCACCTGCTGGAAAACTATTGAGCTAGTAACCTGGGTGAGGTTTTTTGTGTAATCGAAAAATTTTGCATTTTTACAAAGCACACAACCGATAAAAATGCATAGTTAATACATACTTACTTCAAACTGTAAAATATTTAATATAGCAGTCAAGTCAAATTCTACGGAGATTGTCACGTATATTATTTATTTATTTGCAATATTTTTATGTATTTTCTCGATATGGTATTCACAGTAATTAAGAATAATTGTGTCTATTTTTATAATTGTCTGGCAAATTTTATTAATATTGCTGCCACTGCATTTCTTAATTGTAGTGCACTGTGGTACATTTTACCATCAATGTGATGCTGATAGTGTTAGTAATGAAAATTCATTTGTAGTGTGTGTTATAGAGATGAACTATTCCGTAAGGATGTGATATGTAGTTTTACGTTTACCTGTCCCCGTTATATACAGGATACTGTCCAAAATGAGATAATTGAGCAGATTGATTCAGTGATTGTTTATCATTTCTATAAGTCATTGTTACTGTTGCATCAAGCATAGGTTCAGTGTTGGTTGTTGAATTTATTGGAAGTGCCGAGAAAGCAATTAACGGGATATTTGGTATAAAAGAATAAGCATTATTATTAGCCTCCATGTTGGGTAGTGTAACTTGTTTTAAATTTAAAAGTTGCTGTTGATGTTGTTGTTGTTGTGCATCTCGTAGATTTAAATTTTCACGTGTTTGTAAGGCAATAGGATTAGACGGGATACTTCGAAATAAAGGCGGTTTGTAATTATGAATGCCTTCAATAATTGGGAATGCAGGTTGAGAGTCAGTAAACTGTCCATTTGTATTATGATTATTATTATTATTGTTGGTGTTTGGAATGATACTGAAATCAGAATTGTCTAGACAATAACTAAAGAAGTAAAGAGTAAAAGGAAAACGATGGTCATTAAAAGTGGCTCTCTATGGGATTAAAAATAAAACATCTTGATAGCTGTGAATTAATAAACTTGTAATGGATACCTTTGTGTTTTATGGGATTCAAGACATTAATGCTACAGTATCCGTTCTGTAATGTAATTCTTCAATTATCCATAGAGTTTAAAGCATTGGTTAATTCAAATCGAAGAACTTGAAAGAGGATTATTAAATTGGCAAAGGTATCAGTTGTTTCAAGTCTTCTCAAAAGAGCACACTCTTTGATAACGGATGAGAAGGAAAAAGAAGAAGAAATATCATACACTGCTGAAATTCCCAAGAAAAATAACTACCCAAAGAACAAAGCACTAACAAGATCAACATCGAAATTAATTTTAGTCGGGAATGTGCTCTGAAAACATTGACCTCAACAGTCGTCATTCCGTATAGATCAAAAACGTCAGACGATATCGGAAGGGTAGTCAATAAGCAGAACACCAGAGCTTTCTTCAAAATATCAGACATACTACAAAGCAACCTTGTCTATGTAAAAGATCGAATCCTAGAGGATTATCAGTCTATTTGTATCTATAAAATAAAATGCTTGGAATATGATGCAATGCACGCTGGACAAACATCGCGAGGAATCAAAATCAGAAAAAATGAACACCGTAGAGCATCTCTTCGACCACTGAGAAATCCAGTTGAACTAGGAAAGCTTGAAAAATTGTCACTAGGTCGATTTTGACAATTTTAAAATAATTCAGAAAAATTTCAGAAATCACAAAGAACGTCTAATATCACAACTACTTCATATCAAATGGAATCTAAATTGTCTGAACAGGAATGATGGACTAAAACAGAATGTGACCTCGTAATAACACCGCCCTTTCACATGAAATGGCAAAATTAACACGAATGTGATAAACAGTTTCATTAAGTAAACACACATGCTGTTTTCGTAATTTTATACGCTTATCAAATCCAACAATTTACACACAGTTTTGTTATCATTAGCAATTGGCTAATTTTGCCAATATCAAAATTTAACTCATACTGATGAACAAGTTATTATATGAATTCTGGCTTAATGATACTACTCTCATGGAGCTATGAGCATTAATAATAATAATAATGGTAAAGCTTTATTTAAGACAGTATGCGAATATACGGTACGGTATATGGTATACGGTTTTCAGCGTATTCAGCTCAAAAGTACTTTTTTCTTCACACAGGATTCACATGTGAATTAATAATCTGAAGTATATCCTCATTTCGTTGAAGAATTGTACACCGTTTACTTCGGAGCAAGTTATATCATCGCGCACGTTTATGTGTAGGTTATTTGATATAACTGAACGATTAAAGCAATGATAAATCCAGATGAAATTAAGCATCTTGGAGGAAAGTAATTTCGGTGGCCCAATGATTTAAGCAGGCCGCCTTATATAGTGAAACGTTAGTAAGAGCAATATCGTTTTGTTTTTCACTTACTGGGAGATACAAAAACTTTTAAATTAATGAATATCATATACTCAAGCCCAAATTTTTTCAGAGTGTTAATCGTGAACTTGATTTAGACATACATACATCTATTTCTCCTAGAAAAGAATATTCGTGTCTTGATTTTACAAATTCATATTGTGTTGATGATCAGTGCTTCATTAAAAGAATGTGAAACGCTATGGGTACTGGGTTCGAGTCTCGGTGGGAACATCATCACTCACTGAGAAATGCAGGTACATCCAGATGACGAGTCCCAAATAGGACGAAATGCGCATCCTGGATTCCACTGCTAGCCACCATCCACCACTTGTATACCAATTAAATACCCAGACATCGTCGAAGCATCTGCACAAGAAGCTGACATGTCAACCTGAGACCGAGCACTTCGGTCCAATCAATCGACGGGAAAATCAAAATAAAAAATTCAATTCACTTATTCAGTCTATTGAGAAGATATAAGTTTTCGTTGAATGACTATTCGGTCAGTTAAAATTTAAAGCGATTCTTGACAGTTATCAGGAGGTTGGAGACAGTTCGAGTGAAGTCTAAAACCTAGGTTTTGTGCTTGTTACCACTCATCAGTCACCAAGACTTATCTGCAATCATGAAGGAACCCACATGCCTCCTGAGGTTGGACCCCAATTCACCAAGTGCTACAGTCAGCGACGTCATCATTGATCTACTTGAGCTCGAGGTTGACCTCCTGGAGGTTTCTATTATAAACTTTGATTAGACAATTGGTGGCTAGTGTCATGCGTATGGTGCTTTATTCTATGTGGATTGAATTCTATCAGTCATGTTTGCATTGTGGCCAGTGGGTTAGGTAGCTCGTCGTCACTCTTAATTCTGAATTATTGTTATTAGGATTAGATGCATAACACTGGTTAATACCCTGTGTCCAATCAAAGAATTCTCGACAATGCATTACACACATGTTTGCAATTACAGGACAGTCTTTTTTCTTCCAGAAACTTCTACGATAATATCTGTATAAGTGATATTTTCATTAGATCACAGGAACGAATACTGCTAATGTGAATTATTAACACTTAGCTCTTCTCCAATGATGATAGGACGTCTTGGTAAAGGACAGAAGTACCATGTGTTCTTCACTTGTTTCTCTATTGATTAACTGTCGTATATCAGGCTCAGAAAGTAGTATTTGAAAGCGAATAAATGGCAAGCTTTTGGCATACAAATTGTATGCAAAGGCCACCTGACTGAGATTCAAAGCTGGATAAATATAAGACTTGGGATAATTTTTCTCAGTAGCCTTTCTCATCATGTTCGATGAGACTTGCGTACTTATTGTTTGGAAGACAAATAAGTTCTTCATAAAATATCTCGGGTAACAACGGTTATCAAATAAGGTTTATATATATATATATACGTATATATATATATATATATATACGCATGTCATCTATTCGAGAAAAGATAAGTGTCAGTGAAAAGGGCTATAATTGAATATTCAATAAAAACGGATCAAAGTTTCACCACTGAATACATGTTCAAAGGTAACTAGAAACTGAAAACAAATATCAGGGAAATAAGAAATCTGTTGGTCTGTAGGGATTTGATTGGTTTCAGGATTTCATCATGAGCTGACATTAGTTAGAGAACCATTGGAAAACCTGGGAGTACTGGACAGCTGTTTCGTCCTAGTTTGGAACTCTTCAGCAGTACGCACCCACCGGGATTCGAATGTCAGCTCATGATGAAATCCTGAAATAAGAAATCTATTGATTATCTGCAATGAAGAAGCTTTTGCTTTATGTATGGATGAAGGAAATGGAAATGAGTTTTCAAACCTTTATTTCTATCTTAGTTCTAGCTATTTGTTTGAAAGTCAACACTTCATCTCTTTCTACTTTTATACTCTTTATTTATTTCTACTGTAAATCACTAGTCCGACACAATATTCGTTCTCTTTACATTTGGTTGGCCGAAGGGATTCATCATCAGCTGACATTAGTTAGAGAACCATTGGAAAACTTGGGAGTACTGGACAGCTGTTTCGTTCTAGTTTGGGACTCTTCACAGTACACACCCACCAGAGGGGTTTGAACCCAGGATCTTCTGTGTACAAGGCGAGCGGGCTCGTACACCATTGAGCCATTGGGACCCGATCCAATGATCCTTGAATTCTAACTTCTGCCAATTCATGATATAGCGCAACCATTTAGAAATGTCTTCTTCAATGAGTCACTGCCTCATCTTCAACCTGCTGTACCCTACTGGTCACGGCTTCCCACTAGAAACCCAGGTCACTCCCTACCTGAATATGGCCAGTCACTAGTGAGCATCAGATTAATTTTCAAGCAGTTGGTTTTGTAAGGATTTTTGTTTGATGACATCTCTCTGCTGATTTAATTCTTTCTTTCCTACCCTGCAACTCTATATCTAACCTTTTATTTATTACGCTTTCTAAGCCCTATTTTGATTTCTGTATTCACTTCTTGATAGACTCATGATAATCGCTTGTTGTATTTCAAGCGAAAATTAGGTTTTTTTTCACTTAATCTGAAGTTGTTACTACACTTTGTAGCCAGATATTGCTGCAGAGGAAAAGGTTCTGGATTCGAACCCCACTGTGGTGGGTGCGTACTGCCGGTGATTATCAAACTAGGCTGATGAAACAGCTACCTGTCTGTTCAGTACTCCACCAAATCCTGTTTTTCAGTAGTTCTTTAACTGATATCAATCCATGCGTGGTCAAACGCATAAAAACAAAAATTTAATCCTTACAAACCAACTTTTAAAAATAAAAAACTGTGAGTTTTCATCTATTGAGGAAGAGAGACAAAAGTGGATGGACTGTATTGACGGCATAATCAGCTGCAAATAACACAGAAAGAAACTGATTGTTTATCATAAGTTTGGGAGAGTACTTGAGACGAATTTTTACTTGATTCAACTACAATAAACACTAATAGACCAACCATTTGTGTACAGGAAGAACGATTATGTCACACTATACGAATAGCCGTTTGAAAGTTATTCAAAATCACTTATATGGGTTGAAGCCAGTGATTCAGAATGCTAGCAAATGAAAACTACAGATACAAAATTATATATAATAGGAGGAAAAACGTTTCTAACAACAATCACATTGCATGATGTCTCCTAAAAGTGGTTCAACGATTCGTGAAAATCCCTAGTGGCTGTGAACTGTCATCATTTAAGAAACAGTAAGATGGTGTAGTTATGGATGAAATATATAAAGATGGTTGGTAAATAAGTAATCTGAGGTAGAGTTGAAGTGGCGGAATTACAGAATTTCAAAAGATTCTTAACGAAGTGAGAAACAGACTTAAAGTGGGTCAAGTGATATCCAAACTTAAAGTGACCATGATGTGATGACAAAAATTAAAATCAGTGAAAAAGTGAAGTGGAATAAAATCAACCAGAAAGAACGCCACCATTTACAAAGTGTTTTTGAATATCTAATTGAGGTTATCGCTCATTTATAGCTGGCGTTTTCACTAT